GCATCAAGCTACCGACATCCCTTCCAAAAATGCAATAGCACATGTGCTTGGCGGACCATCATTGACCCTGCTCACATCTTCTAGCGTCTTGCATCTCAGAAGATAGACTAACAATATGATGATGTAGATTTTGAAGAACCATAGGCAGCAGCAATCCAACGGCGGATTTTAAACTTCCGGGAGTGCCCAATCTTACAGTCACTCATTCCTGAACTCTATGAAAAGAAGGCGGTTGAAAGGCAGGATTGGAATTGTGTTCACCCAAACCACTACACAGAGCACGGATGAATAAGTCTAATAGATTTTGTCTCCCCCCTTGGCTCTCTCTCCCACTTTCTCCCTCTCTCCTCCATACCAACCAGAGTTCCCACAAGCAGCAACTTTAGATACGATTTTTTTCGAACAGGATGCCAACTCCGTATGAAGACAGACCAGAAGAGCAAAAGGTAGACGCACCGACAGACACGCAGATAGACAGGTAGACAAACGGACACAGATGGACAGACAGGCACAGACTCACAGAGATTGCGAACTGCCGGACAGACAGACACGTACATATACGGACAGATGTACACGGATGGACGTACAGACAAGTGAATCGGCGGACAAGAACTTACAGCACACGGGGGATAGACCCAGACAGAGGACAGACAGGTACACGAACGGGTAGCTACACAAGGGAGCGGCGAGACACGGACAGAGGATACACACGACAAGGACTGACGCGGATTAACACCCACCTGGACGGGAGCGGTCAACAGAATCGTCCGGTTTGCCGGGCCGCCGCGTGTGGCCACTCGCGCGGCGTCACGACGCCTTAATTTCCAGAAGAATTTGAATTTGAAGGTAAGATCACTTGATTGAAGTTGTATAATAGAGGGACAGGCCTGATATCGTCCAGTAAGATTCAAATTCAAATTCGCCAATTGCAGTTGCGACATCGCAGCCACGACCAGTAGTGCGGGGATCCGAACGATTCTGTTGACATACACCCACCTGGACGTGGCGTACATTTGGACACGGACAACGCACACGCGGACTGATGGGACTGAAGCCCAGCCGGCAGTCACCCACAGGACGTAGCATGCAAAAGACAAGGACAACATAAACACAGACAAGCGGGAGCTTACCTGAGCATAGTCCTAAGTGAGCACGGATGGGTACCCCCCCCAGGAGGCCCGTCGCGCGGCAAGAAGGCAGAGTCGGCGGACGAGTTGCAGCGCGTGGTGTGCGATGTAGGACGTGCAATGGGACACTCTATTTAACTTGACGCGAAATCCCTATAGTACGCGCGCGACTCGTCCGCTGACTTTGCCTTCTTGCCGCGCGACGGGCCTCCTGGGGGGTACCCGAGCACGGATACGCTGGCAAAAACTTCTTGAACCGTCACTTGGACCACGACCTCCGACGATCCGAAACAAAGAACACTGGGAAGCAAGAAACCAGAGGGAAGTTTCCTTGCATACCTGTGGCCCCTGCGGTGGTGATGGATGGCTGAAGAATCGGTGATCGACCATATCTTACGAACGTTCCACGAAGCCATCATACACCTGCAATTCAGAACTTTCAAAAAAGGTTACAATAGTAACTTAGTTTACAAAAGCACCCATAACTGTGTCGAAATTGAAGTAACATACTATGGGAGACAGAACGGAAGACGGACCATGGAAGTGAACGAGAGCAAGAAATTGAAAAAATGAGACCCGACCGGAGCGAGCACTCGCCAGGGCGGGAAACGTTGAATCAATGAAGACAGGCGGTCCAATTTTTGATTTGTGGCAAGGGTCAACACTCATTAATTTGATCTAAAGTGTTGATGAATAGGCCAGTTCCTTCACTTCTTTTCGGAGATTTCGAGGGAAACGAACTGGCCTAGATACCATTCGGATATGGATTATCCCCTCATGTCAGGTAATTTTGACCACACTAGAAAATCAATAGAAAATTAACGGAAAAGAAAAGGGAACAAAGAACAACAAGACAGGCTGGACTGGAAAGCTGCAAAATTGGGCGAAAAGGTGGGAAGCTATTCGAAGGATCACCAAATCACTTGAGCGGATTCATAAAAGAACGGCTTGAAGGACTTGTCTGTCAAGCAGTGCGCATTAAAATTAGGCTGGCAATAAGGCAGGTAAAGTAAGAGATGAGGAAGTCCACCCGTAAAATGATCAAAGGTGAGGTGTCAAAAATCCTTGAAACGCATCGCAGTGTGACAAGTCGTAACAATAAACCTCCAAGTCGCCGTGCTGGACTTTTTGAGATGAATGAAAAGATAAGTGACAAAGCTTTCGATACCTTTTGGGACGCGCCATGCAATCCACTTCCATTCAGAATCGTAATGGACAATGAATGCGATTTAACCTTTACAGTGAGGTGAAAGCGTCAGCCGATGTACAACTCTGTGCTCCTATCCTGCCAGACAAGTCTGTACAATTACTTGACCCTGGAAGGATGGAAGGTGGGCTCTAAGTTACCTAGGCATGCGCACGCCTGAAAATTAGTTGAGACACTGGAGGATATTCGGGATCGCCTCTACCGAATTACCTATGGACAGCCCAGACTGAAGAGGAGCTGACAAAACCGATCGAAAATCCGATCGCTCAGTTAAAAAATATACCGACCCTTATTCACAATACTTCACGATTGCGTATTTAGTGTTTTATCTAAGAAGGCAGTAAATTCATTTTCTCTATATTTTTCATACATATTCGCGAAGAATAAATTTTTGCTACCTCTGGGAAGCTACTAAGCTTTTAGATTATTTGATGAAGAAGGTTGGACATCAAGCAGTCCGTTTAAAGACCATATTACCAGCACCGTTAATATTAGGTGAGTCGTTTCTCTGGGAGAATAGAGCGGACCAACCACAGAGCTGTGACAGAACAATGCCGTTAGTCACAGCAGATTGGAAGGTGTGCACGCTAGAACAACTAGTAGCTGTTGGCACTCTCCTTGTGCTGGCCAGCTGCTTCCGCTATCTACTGATAGCGATACAATCGTCACACGCAGGGGTGTCTGTACTGCCTTCTCTTGTCCTATACTATAATTCGCTTGCACGTTTATATTTATACCATTCTCAACGCAGCAGCTGTGTCCACTCGACTCATACGTGTCTCGTGGATAACGAGGTTGATAACTTGTAACGTCCACAGTCTGTCTCCAATACATCGCATAATAGGACAGAAATAATGAGATACATAATTATAGATAAGGTGGGGACACAGAGTTCATTAACGCGAAAAATCTCCCTATGGTGGCTGATTGTAGTAGGATAACCTTCGAAATGCACGCTATGCGACTCCCAACTGATGAGTATCCCGCCGTTGTGAAAATGTATTATGCAACTTGAGGCAGATAATTGGCCATACTCGCTATCGTCGCGTTGAGTGAGCTTGTCCTTATTAGGATGAACGGATGCCGAGCACAGATTTGCGTATACCCTACACGCCATACTTGATGGAATTGTGTACAGCCCGATATATCATTTTTCAAGGTTGCAAGATGCTTACATGAGATGACCGATCTCTATTTCCCCATCTTAATCAGCCGGCCTAAATTCACTAAGACATCATTGAGTAGCCATATGATTCAAGTTATTCCGAATCCATTAGAATCTTCTCAGTGCGCCATAATATGGACCTACCGGAAGTATTTATTCTACAAAAACCGGTAGCTACAACTATTATGAACGCTTGCATATACTGATCAGGGCGAGGAGGCCAAACACTGTGATTTTGCATATTCGAAATTTGATAAATGCTTTCGAGAGTAGTGAAGAGGTCGTAGGTTTGATTTTTGTCCCTTGCTAATTGATAGACACGAAACGAATCACCCCAAATGTGCTGGTTCTTCTAGTACAGCACCTAAGATGCCATCGTGAACGAATGTATTAAATTGCCTATCCATTATCTCTTGCATCCGAGTCTTCCCCAAGTGATGAATGTTAGGGCCATCCAAAGTGCTTTGAGAAAATAACGCCCACATTCCCTGCAAAAGGTTATTGTGCGCATTTGGAATCCCTCGTGGCTGATGCTTGCTTTTGACAGGACTCCACAGAGAAGCCGAACAATTATAATGACCCTAAGCCAAAATCACAATCAGCCTGCCCGGCATTTCTCGAGTTGCGAATTAAATTGAAGTCAGAAGCGACCGCACTTCTAATATCCAAGCTTATCTCCAAATAATCAAGAACATAGTGCAATCCCAATGGAATTGGACAGGAGAGACTATGTGAACTGCGCCATTCACACAACTTCCTAACTCAAAATTCTCTCACACACTCCAAACTTTGTAAAGCCTCACCCATTGCAAAACAAATCCATGACCTGCGGTTGATAAGCGACATTACGGGGCATTGAACCACTCACCATCTGATAAATTTGAATTCGGAGATACTTTCTAATATAATAAAATAATGTCTCAGCCAAAAAACATCAATCCCCTGCAGAGGAGCCCAATATTTCTCCTCAGGTCTCCGCCTTCCAATCAAAGCAACTGTATAATCATATTGGAACTACTTTATTTCGGAGTCAACGACAAACACAAACTACATGTTTAATAACCAGCCGTGAATAACTTTATAGTACATGACCAAGAAAAACGCCGAGTTCACGTCTTCGTTACTTGGGAAGAAGTCTGAAACGACCATACTAACGCAACATTGACAGATAAAACAAGAAATTGAGTACCGTACAAGTAAAACCATACTATCATCAAACAGCACATGGGTGTCAGATAGGAACATATCGAACCAGATTGTAATCACGGAAATAGTGGGATTACCACTCAATGGCTGGGCTAAAATAAACAGTTGTCACAATTTTCATTCACTTTCAGAGTATATCACCATAGACAGCAGGAAAGGGCTAGTACTAGAATATGTAGAGGCAGAATCACAAAACACGATGCGAGTCTGAGCTGCCAACATACATATCAAAGCGTCTGGAGTGTAGAGCAGGGGAGAGAAGTAAAAATAATGGAAAACATGAATGGTGTTCAACTCAGTAGTCATCTCCTCTTGACAGAACCTCCTTGCATGTTGGGCGCAGCACTAGAGTATGCTCCCATTGAGCTGTGTAACAGCCTTTCACGTCGCAAAGTGGTGGGTATGGATCAACAATTCCCTGAAACAGCTTGATGAACAGTAAGAAGCCCGAATAGACGCGAAGGCTTTGAACTAAAGAACTTTGAAACATAACTTGATAAAAAGGCAGCGTCATTATATTCAGTGCTTTCCTTTTCGAGTATAATACTTTTGGTAACTAACCCCGAAAGAGGTTAAGTTAACGCTATCACATTACTATTATTACGTATACCGTGTTATGCAAGGCTGGTGTCAGAGTCCGCGATCCGTCGCAGGTTTCGCTGATTTTCGCGATTTGCGCGATTCACG